TTACCCATCAGCAGAGTGGACAACTCTGAAGAGCTATCAGGTTGGCTCAGATAAAATTGTCTTAATGGGTGACCCTGGAGGCCCAGCACTCAACAGCTGCCACAGTGAGCAGAAAGGGCAACCTCAACAATGTCAAGAAAATCTTGTTTCCACTCATGGTTTGTGCATTTTAAGAAGTCCTTTCCCACGCATAGGTCACAAGTATATATATATATATTTTTCTATTAGCTTCATCATAGCTTTGAACATATGTCTTTAACCCTTTTGGAGCCAACATTTGTTTATGTAATTGATAGGGATTTGGTTTAATTTTTCTCAATATAGTGAGCCAGTTTTCCTATCTAGTAAACAGTCCATCCTTTCCCAGACTTACATGTGGGGACCAAGTTCCAATCTAAACACAGTTCTATCTCTGAGTTCTGTCATTCTGTTCCAGTTGTCCATTTTGTCTGTTCTTGAACCAGTACCATAATGTTTGAATCATATAGCTTAGTAGTATTTTTAAATACTCTTTGCCTTTCTTTCTCAAGGTAGACTTACTAAATCATGGACTTGTGTTTCCAAATAAATTTTAGGATAAATTTTCAGTGTTTCTCAAAAAACAAACAAGCCAACCCTGCCATTTTGACAGAGATTGAATTTAATTTATAGACTAATTTGGAGAGAATCTGCATTTTCATATTATGCCATTCTGTTCATGAGTGTGGAATACCTCTTCATTCATTTGGATCTTTTATGTCTTTTAATAGAGTTTAAAATTTTTTCTTATAGAGCTCTAGTGTATTCTTTGTTAATTCCTAGATATTCTAATGGTCTGTTGCTACTGTGAAATACGTCTTATTTTTCTATTATATATTTTCTAGTTTATTATTGCTAGGGTAAAGAAATGCTATTGATTTTTGTCTCATCAATTATTTATACCTTACTGGGGACAGGTTCCATAGATTTTTCCCTGGGAGAGATTTTAGTAGGTAAAAGGGGAAAGGAAAAAGAACATGAAGATACATGTGAGGACAAGAGACTCTGCAAGAAGCCAAAAGGACAGGCTGCCAGATGCTTTGGAAACCAATTTTATTACTTCATCTTTTTCCCTAAACTTTCATAAAATTATCCTAATTCTAGCAAAGAGGGCAGCCTCTTCAGAAATGTTTCCACCATTCTTTCCTCCATGACTGGTTCCACCATCAGAATCTATCTGGAGTCCAGTCCCCTCTCAGCACTGTCACCACTACCTCTATATCCCAGGTCTTCTCCTCTAATCCAAGCAGTCACCTATGACAGTAGCCTTCCAGTTGGTCTCCCACATTCTACACTCCCCTGTACAGTCTGTCCCGTCAAGCCTGTCCTTTCATCATGTCACTCAGCTACTCAAAACTCTGCACTCTGGATCCTTACCTCATTCAGCTTAGAAGCCAGAGTGTTACTGTTTCTCTCCATGGGAGCTGGCTCCCTGTTTGCTCTCTGACCTCATCACCTACCATGCTCCCTCCTGTTCACTTTGTTCCAGTCACGTTTCAACTTGGCAAGCAAGCTGCAGCCTTGGGGCCTTAATGAATTATACTTTTCTGCATAACAAATTATCCCAACACTTAGCATCTTGAAATAACAAAGCTTTATTATTTCTCAGTTTTTGAGGGTCAGAAAGCCAGGGGGGTTCTGAATCAAGGTCTCTGATAAGGTTGCTGTCAAGCTTTTGTCTGTGGCTACAGTGTCATCTGAAGGCTCAACTGGGGGAGGGGCTACTTCTAAGCTCATTCACGAGGTTGTTGGCAAGCCTCAGGTCCTCGTGGATTTGCGGACTGAGGGCTTCCTTTCCTCCCCGACTGCTGGCCAGACACAGCCCTCAATTTCTTGCTGCGTGAGCCTCTCCGTAGAGCAGAGGGCAGCTCTCCTGGCAGCTTGCTTCCCCAGGGAGAGTGACCTGAGAGAAAATGAGCACCCAGAGTGGAAGCTGTAATCTTTTTAAAACCTAATCTCAGAAGTAACGTATCATCAGTTTTACCATATTCTGTTTATTTCAAATTCAGCATACACTCCAGGAGAGGGGAGTGAAGCTCCACCTCTTAAAGAGCACCAAGCATTCATGGACATATTTTTTGTAACCATCACAAGAACTTTGCACCCATTGCATCTGCTGTGGCTGGGGGTGGGGGGTGTCACTGAAATGCTGACTCCTTCTCTCATTCAGGTCTCTGCTCATCATAGAGGCTTCCTGTGACCTTCCTGTCTAAAACAGCATCATTCCCTGTTCCCTTCCTCTGTTTATTTTTCATAGCCCTCATCATCTGACACGTTAGGTTTTATTTGTTTATAATTTGTCTTCCCACTAGAATATTAGCTTGATAAGTGTAGGAACTTTGCTTTGCTTGCTGTTAAATCCCCAGTACCCTAGAATTATGACTGGCATATAGTAAGCATTCAGTAAATACTTGTAGGGAGAGAGGAGAAAGGGGAGAAGGGAATCCCAGAAAAGGGGTCCCTGTCTTTAATGTCTTCCAGATGGAGACCTGGTTCATGTCTTGAGTGAACTATCCATCCAACCCAGCCCCTTGGGTCTAGAGGAATCCCAGGTGCCGGATGGCAGGTCAGAAAGGAACCGGTGGCTTATCTACCCATGGGAATTTGTAATAGGTTAAATTATGTCACAAAAAAAGATATGTCCGAGTACTAATCCCTACTACCTGTGAATGTGACCTTATTGTCACATTCAATAAGAGACCTGAATGAGAGAAGGAGTCAGCATTTCAGTGACACCCCCCACCCCCAGCCACAATTGCATCTCCAGATGCAATTAAGTTAAAGATCTCAAGATGAGATCATCCTGGAGTTAGGGTGGGCCCTAAATTCAACGGCTGGTGTCCTTATAAGAGGAAAGGGAGATCTGAAGCACAAAGACACAGGGAGAAGAAGGCCAAGTGAAGACAGAGGCAGAGACTGTATTTATGCTGCCGTAAGCCAAGGAACGCCTGAAGCCACCAGAAGCCAGAAGGAGAAAGGCAGGATTTTCCCTTTGGTCCTTCAGAGGGAGCGCAGCCCTGCCAACACCTTCATTGCAGACTTCTCGAGCCTCCACAACCATGGGAGAATACATTTCTATTGGTTCATGCCACCCAGTTTGTGGTCATTTGTTAGGGCAGCCCTAGGAAACTAATATAGGATTTAAGCACTTCTCTGAGACCCTCTTCCTTGGGCCTCTGATTATAAGTGATTAAGAAGAATCATCTCCAAGACTTACATAAAAATGTATGACTCAGATCATTTTTCATAACTTACATGCCAAATAAAAACCCTTTAAAATCATATTGCCAACTACATATATAACTTTTTAAAAACAGCTCGCTTATTATATATGCTTAGAATTCTAACTTCGGGATATATAAGAAATGGTATCATTTGATGCCTCTACTGAAGGAGACATTTTGAAGTATATACCCTTTTGTGCTACTTGAGGTTTTATCTTGCACCTTCCTTTCCCTAACATACAAACGCACCGTTAAGAAAAAAATAGCATAGTATTCCTATTGCTTCTATAAACTAGGATGTAGTTTTCACAGAGTTAGGTAAGAGTACCTTTTAGCCAACAATTGCTTAATCAAAAACAAACAACTATCAAACTATTCATTTGTTTACATAAAAAACAGCGATCGAGGGCTTCCCTGGTGGCGCAGTGGTCGGCTTGCCGGTGCAGGGGACGCGGGTTCGTGCCCCGGTCCAGGAGGATCCCGCATGCGGCGGAGCGACTGGGCCCATGAGCCATGGGCGCTGAGCCTGCGCGTCCGGAGCCTGTGCTTCGCAACGGGAGAGGCCACAAGGGTGAGAGGCCCGCGTACCGCAAAAAAAAAAACAAAAAAAAAACAGCGATAGAAGCAGGGTGGTTATGGGGGGCGGTGGAGAGGAGGGAGAATCAGGAGGTGTTGGCCGAAAGGTACATAGTTTCAGTTATGCAAGATGAGTAAGTTCTAGAAAATCCACTCTACACTATAGTGCATATAGTTAATAATACTGTTCTGCATATTCCAAAACTTGTTAAGAATGTAGATCTTGTATTAAATGTTCTAATCACAAAAAAGAGGGGAGGAGGAGATGTTTAGAGGTGATAGTTATGTTTATGGCAGTGTTTATTGTGGTGACAGTTTCATGGCCGTATACTTACTTTCAAACTCATCCAGGTAAATATGTACAGCTTTCTTTGTATATCAAGCATACTGAATTTAAAAATATTGTTTAAAAGGACACTGATATTACTAATAACAGTTTGGCACACAGTTGTGAGATTTTGGTGCTTTGTTACATTGCTGCTGCCTGAAATCTGTTGGCAAGTCAAATTTGTCTTCCTCCACTTATTTAATTTCTTTGTTGTAGCTTTGGACTGTTCGGGTATATTTACACCTTCCACAATACGGTTAGATAAAAGTGAGGGCACGCTGGATGATTGCTACCACTGGATTCTCTTTAAAAAAGAAAAGCAACCCCAGAACATAGGCCATTTTTTGTTTTGGGTGTTTTTTTTTTCCATACAGAGAGCTGAGACAGGCTTATGTGTGAATGTTAAATTTAAGGATAATGATCATTGTGTCTGTCCGTAAGTAAGCATTTTGGGAGATCCAAAATAAAACTGCAGTCATTGATATTCATTTCTTCTTTCTTTCATTCAAATGTATTGCCTGCCTGTGCCTTGTAATGTGTTAGAGGCTAAGGACAAAAGCAATGAGGCAGGGAATCTGCTCTCAAGATGGTGACAGACTTGTAGCTGAGTATGCATGATTCACTACGATGGGTACAGTAATAGCACACAGCAGCCCACATGAAAGGAGCGCATTGCCATGCCAGGGGCCCGCGAGGAGCTTAAAGAGGAGACCTCAGACAGTAAAAGTCATAGAGATGATTAATTTTGTTAATGGCTCCAGGATGGACTATATTACTATACTATAACTGTAATACCAGGCCATCTGAACAGAATTGTTTATTTGTCTTCTATTATGAATGTCTGTGATTTTTTTTTTTTTTTTAAATGCTTCACAAGTTTTTGTGTCATCCTTGCGCAGGGCCATGCTAATCTTCTCTGTGTCGTTCCAATTCGGGTGTATGTGCTGCCGAAGTGAGCACTGAATGTCTGTGATTCTTGGCAGTGTATATTCCTGATGTGCTCTTAGCAAATTTCAAGAACTTCACTGGGCTCAATCACATACGTCATGGGAGGAGGATGACCATCAAACAAGAGGTATAAATTGGAAGCAGAGAGAGATTTCTCTGTAAGGAAAATAAAATGAAGGAGCTATACATTTTGCAATTAAAATTTGACATTGTTGGCTAATTCAGAACTGTAGTGATTTGGTCCATGCACTGCACTACACTTTACAATTCTCACTGTTAGGAGCTAGACAGAAACTTTATAAAACTGTTTTGAATAGTGTGGTTCTATCAAAAGTTTAGTCTTGATTTTAGAATTAGAAAAATTTTTTTCAATTAAAAAATATTTTAGTACAAACCAGTTTTGCAAAAGGACATCATTTCCATTCTATGGCAGAGAAGCTAACTGCTTCTCCTCTTCTTCTTGGGTACGTGGCTAGACCACATGGCCCAGCTCCCCTCTTGCAAACAGGAGTAGCCCTGTGACTGAGTCCCAGCCAGTGGGAGGAGTTAAACTGGTGTGTGCCACTGCCAGGCCTGACCCGTGAAAACCCCGTGCTGACCCTTCTTGCTCTTTGCCCCTTGCAGCTGTCTGGAAGGCAGATGACCCCCAGGACCACCTTGGAAGCCACCCGTTAAAGACAGCAGAGCCTCTATCAGCTCGGCTGCCCAAATGATACACAAGGAGGAGCCCCACTGACCCATGCAGTTTACCCAGTCCTGTTCTGTGAACAAGAAATAACTCTATGGTATTTCAGACATGATATATTTTAGGGTCAGTCTGTTGCAGTAGTTAGCCTTTTCTAAGTCATACACTTGCCTAGCAAAATTCTTCCCTCTTACTTTTTTGGGGGAGGGAGGAGACACACAAGAAGGGACAAGTTGAGGGAAATTTAATTATAATGTTTGTGCGGAGCCTCTGTCATTTGCCCCTTTAAACCCATGCTCCATCCTTCCATACCCTGCTTTCAGTCCCTGAAGACTGACTTCCATCTCTGGGCCTCTCGGCCCTCTGAGTGCCTGGGAGATGAGTGGGAGCGAGGGCAAGGAGGTCAGGATATTTCTGGCCCTGGTTTGCTCCCTGTGAGGTCCTAACCGGAGTTCACTACTCCTCTCAATCTGGCTGTTTCACATGACTGTCTCACTGCTTCCGGATTCAAGTAGCAGTTCCCTGCCCTCGTCCACGTGGGCTTTGCATTGGTCATCCCAGCTTAGTCAGCTTCGGCTGCCGCAACAAAGTACCATAGACCGGGTGGCTTCAACAACAGACATTTATTTCTCATAGTCTAGAAGCTGGGAAGTCTGAGATCAGGGTGCCAGCATGGTGAGCTTCTGGTGAAAGCCAACTTCCTGGCTTGCAGACAGCTGCCTTCTTGCCTTATCCTCCTCACATGGTGGGGAAAGAGAGAGAGAGACAGAGAGAGAGAGAGAGAGAGAGAGAGAAACTCTCTGGTCCCTTCTCATAAAAGCAGTAATCCCATCACGGGGACCCCACAGGCATAACCTCATCTAAACCTAATTACCTCCCAAAGGCCTAATTACCGCTTTGATGCCATCACACTGGGAGGTTGGGGGCTGCAGAAGGGTAGGGAGGTCACAAACATTTAGTCCGTAACAGGCCTAGGCGTGTGTTGTCAGCCAGACTGCTATGAGACCCAGGTCAGCATGGCATCCCTTGCCCACACCTAGCCTACACCCACACCTGTGTGTTGTCCCTCTGTAAATAAACCCTTCTAGAATCATCCTTTGAATGTGCCATCTGTTTCCTGTTAGCACTCTGACCGAGACCATATTGCTTTGTTTTAACTCTCAAAAATGATAGTAGCATGGGCTTCCCTGGTGGCGCAGTGGTTGAGAGCCCGCCTGCCGATGCAGGGGACACGGGTTCGTGCCCCGGTCCGGGAGGATCCCACATGCCGTGGAGCGGCTGGGCCCATGAGCCATGGCCGCTGAGCCTGCGCGTCCGGAGCCTGTGCTCCGCAACGGGAGAGGCCACAACAGTGAGAGGCCCGCGTACCACAAAAAATGATAGTAGCAAATACTGTACATATTACCAGAACCTAGTAAGGCAATTGTACATTTTAGGACAATAACCATCACAAGCAGTAATTCCCAGGCAAAGTATTCCATCTCCATCTTTAGTGGCAGCGGAACTCTCTCCACAACCCCAACCTAATATGTCAGTCCCCTTAGCCTTTACTCCAGAATCTGAACCTTAGCCCAGCATTCAAAGCCCTTCATAATCTGGTCTCTGTCTCCTCTCCAGCATTATCATCGCCATTTCCTTCCCTCTCACCCCCTGCCCCCATACCATGAGCTGGGAGAATCGTTCCTCTGTGATTCTGCACATCACAAGCTCTCTCTCTGAATCCCCTCCCATCTTCCTCTTCACTTAACTCCTGGTAGTCTTTTAGAACTCAGCTCACCTCTCTCCTGCTGGGGCAATCCTGACACCTACACCCACACCTCTCCCCATCCACACACATGCATGTCTTCCTAGGCTGGAGGACACGCCTCTCATGCTGTCTCACACCACTTTACTTTCCTGCCCCCTGACTCCTGGATCATGATTCTTTTAAGGACTAGAGTTGACTGTTATTAATGTCTATATGCCCATAGTAGGTACTTCATGTTTGTTGAATGCATGTCTCCAATGGTTTTAGGCTTTTGTTAAAAACTTGCATGCGCACTGGACTTCCTGTAGGGGACCTGGATAAAGCTAGGACCAAGATAGAGGCATGTTCCTCTTCTCTCCCCATTCATCTGCTACAAGAGCTGGAGACTTGGGAGAAAAGTCTGTTTCTCTTCCAGCATCTCTACACTTCCCTCCTCCCCATGGAATGAAGACAAAACTCACCACCCCTGCCTTTAACATGTTCAACTCACCGCAGATTCCCTGAGTAGGACCTGAGTTACTCAAGTTTTGCTGTTACACACTTTTAGGGTTTTTTTTTTTTTAATTTAACTTTCTGAATAGGTAATACGTCCTCATGAGTCAAAACCAAAACGTATAAAAAGTTATATAGTGAAATGTCTCCCCTCATCCAACCAGTGTTTCCATTAACCCCGTTCCTACCCTCCATATGTAACCACTCTTCTTAATTTCTTACATATACTTAGTTCCATAATTGTTTAGTGCAAATACAAGCAAATTTCAAATATACATTCTTATATTTCTCACTTCTTTACCAAAGCATGCCATACTTTTTTGAACTGTGTTTTGTTTTGTTTTTTACTTAACAGGTTTTGGAAACCTTTCCTTACCTGTTCATAACTTGTTTCCTCATTCTTTTGTACAGCTGAACAATATTCCATTATGTGAATGCATCATAATTTACTTAACTAAACCTTTATTGATAGACGTTTGAGTTGCTTCTAGTCTTTTTTTGTAACACCTATAATGATGCACGTTACAAATTTTTTTAATTTATTTTTTTGTATTGAAGTATAGTTGATTTACAATCCTGTATTTGTTTCAGGTGTACAGCAAAGTGATTTGGTTATACATATATCTATATCTATATCTATACTCTTTTTCATTTTTTTCCATTATAGTTTATTATAAGATAATGAATATAGTTCCCTGTGCTATACAGTAAATCCTTGTTTATCTATTTTATTTATAGTAGTATGCACCTGTTAATCCCATACTCCCAATTTATCCCTCCCCTGATTTCCCTTTGGTAAACACGAGTTTGTTTTCTACGATAATGATGCACATTTAATCTAGACATGATGCTATACTATTCAATGTATAATTCTTTTAACATTTTGACTTTATACTTTATTTCAAGAAACTTTTCATCTGTGGGCCCATCAATACATGACATTTGCTAAAGAATACATTAAGGTTAAACCACAAATCAATGACCTGAAAAAGTTATTTAACTTTATGAGTTCACTTCTGGGCATTTATCCATAAGAATGTTGGACAACATAGCAGAGTATGAGTTCATTTTAATGGAGCAGGCAGCACATGTGTAAGCTTTGCAGTTTCTGCCAAGGTCATTTGGACAAAGGAGCATTCTGGGATTCCCCTTGGGAAAAATCTTAATCATTCTTGTACTTTTGATGATCAGTAATATTTTAATATTACTTGGGATGCTAATGTGTTGTATTCAGCAGAAGTTACAAAAAGAGGAAGGACTCAGTGTGTCTGTCCAGAGCACCATAAGTCTTTGTAGGAAGGCATAATGCATGAGTGTCAAACCATGCTCATTCCAAAGGCTGAGGTCAGTTGTGGATTCCCTGTCTACTGCCCAGTACAGAATAGACATGTGTGGGATTCTGTATGTTTATCCTGTACATACCTGCTCCTGTACAGACTGGTGTCCCACTTGGCCACAGGGCATTCCATCCAGTGGCTCCCTCCTATGTGGCTGGTTGGCAGGGTTGATTAATGAGGCGAGCCCTCAGGCATGGCACATGCTACATCTGCTGGAGGGCAGTGATGGGCTGGAAAGGGCCAACTGAGTATTACTAGAACTTACCAAAGTCTTGTAGGAGCTCATTTCCTCAAAGAGAAGGACCGTGGGTCTTATGAAGCTACTCAGCCTAAACAATGTCTGAGCTTTAGACCCAACCTCAATACGAGACGCATCTCCCTTCAAGAAGGCTGGACCTCCAGGCCCTCTGAGACAGAACCAACTGAGGACACTCAGTGGGGCCACACCACCCTCTGCCAAACCTTGCTTTGGGGCCTAGAGACCTAAACTCATCTAAAGCAGTGCTCCACCTCCTTTATCTCTGTACGTGTATATTTTATACTTTCCAAAGGGAAGGTCTTTTTCTGATTTAAGAACATGAAACAAAAGAAAAAGATGAAAGTAAAATCAGAGGTCTAAATTAGAGAGAACGACTGCTGAAAAATATAGCTTTAAAGCCTTTTTATGAATAGTTTTCACAAACCTTGGCTTTATTTTGACTGTGAGCCTTCCTAACTCTTTTGAGCCTCTGGTAAATGGTATTATATCTCT